TATCTTTTTTTTTTTGCTGACTGTACATTCCTATGCAGTTGAAAAGAGGAGGCGAGGGAAGAGAGAAGAGCTAAAGGCATGATACCGGTCTCTCCCCAGATGGCGTATTCGAGTGTTGCGATCCCTAAAAATGCTTTATAATGTTATTTGATGAAATGGAAGAGCAGATAGAAGCTTGCAAGGTAAGCTTACAAAGGCTTTTTTATTCAAGAAGTTCTAATACATCTCATTTGCATAACAGTGAACAATTAAATACTAGTAAAATAAGTGTTAAATTACCAGATATTTCATTGCCTTGTTTTGATGGAAAAATTGAAAATTGGAATAATTTTGAACTTCAATTTGATAGTTTGATAACTGAAAATCAGTCTTTAAATAGCATGCAGAAATTGTTTTATTTACGTTCAGCTTTAAAAGGTGACGCTAAATATATTGAAACCCCAGAAGATACTTTTGAATCCCTGATGAATACTCGTTTAATTGTAAACAATCTCGAACATTTTGAATTTTTAAAAAATTTCTGTAGAATCTTATAAGGACTTGAGACATTTAATTGATACTTTAAATAAAAGTTTAAGAGGTTTAAAATTAATGAAATTAGAAGCAAATGATCTCGTTGAACAATTAATAATTAACATAATTGTTCAAAAATTGGATAAGGAAAGTCGCAAACAGTATGAAGTGAGTTTAACTTCTACTGAACTTCCAAAATTCAATACATTTATGGAATTTATTCAAAAAAGATGTCAAACATTAGAAAATCTTCAGGGAAACCAATTTTTTATGAACAAAGCTAATTATTCTACTTCAAAAAATGGTCACCCAAAATTATCTGGCAGTTCAAATCCATCATTTCGTTCTAAGACTTTCTTAACAAATAATTCTAGTGTTTCGCATAGTATGTGTAAAATTTGCAATCAAAATCATACTACACTTATCGTTGTTTAAAATTTAAAGCATTATCAGTGCCTGAAAGATTTTCTTTAGTAAAAAGATATAATTTATGCATTTCCTGTCTTTCATCAGGCCATAGTGTTGCTAATTGTACTAGTTCCTTTAAGTGTCAAGTTTGTAATAACTCTCATAATACATTATTGCATCGAGAAAAGATAAACACTCATTTGAAACCAAACTTCATTAATAATTCACCAGAGCCTTTGATTAAATCACATGATGTTATGTTGAATTCGCCTCCGAATGCTGACTCATCAGTTTTAAATGATAACTCAGTCTCTTTGACTCCAATTTGTGAGTAGAAAAAGAACACTGATGGAAACAACAGATGGAAAATCGAAGTATGTTTTAATAAACACAGCTATAATTTATTTGACTTCTGCTAAGGGGGAAAGAATTGCTTTTCGTTCCATTCTGGACTCTGCAAGTCAATCGTCTTATATTACGAGTGAGGCAGCAAACTTATTAGGAATTAAAAAACAAAGGGTTTTGGTTCCCGTTTCTGGTATTGGAAATTCATTAATAAACATTAAATCTCAAATTACTACTCAGCACTCAGCTCTCTGATGTTTCGAACACTTTCAATTGGAATGTTGACTTTTTAATCGTACCTAAGATTACGGAAGTTTCGCCTTCAAATTATTTAAATTGTTCGAACTTTAAAATACCTCATTCGATTACATTAGCTGACCCTGATTTTTGTGTCCCTCAAAAGGTGGATGCATTACTGTCTGCCGAGTACTTTTTCCAGTTTTTGAGCGAAGGTAAAATTTGCTTAGAGGGTACACAGTTAATATTACATAATAGTTGCTTCGGATACCTCGTTTCTGGGTCAATTGAAATGCCTAGTAGAAAAAAAGATTGTGTATCGAAACAGTGTTTTTTATCTAGAGAAATGGATACATTGAATAAAGCGGTCGCTGCATTTTGGCAAATTGAGGAAATCAATGACGTCACAACTAGTGATGAGTTAAAAATTTGTAATGAAAACTTTAATAAAACCCATTATCGTAAACCTAATGGTAGGTACGTCGTAAATTTGCCATTTAAATCAGAAATTATGGAGGACATTACGTTAGGTGACTCTAAGTGTATGGCAAATAAAAGATTAAATCTCTTATGGTTAAAACTTGAACGAAACGTAGAATTGAAAGACTTATACAAACAATTTCTTCGTGAATATGAGCAGCTTGGCCATATGGAAGAAATTGTAGATGAAGCTGATACTTCAGAAGGCTACTTTCTCGCACATCATGGAGTGCTTAAGCCTTCTAGCTCCACCACAAAGCTAGGCGTAGTTTTTGATGGCAGTGCAAAAACCACTAATGGGAAGTCGCTTAAAGACATTCTTTTAAAGGGTGGAACTATTCAAGAAGAACTGTTTCACATAATATTGCGCTTTCGTAAACATGTTTATGCCTTGACCACTGACATAAAAATGATGTTCAGGCAAATTGAAGTCGAACCGTCTCAAACAAGATTTCAAAAAATTCTTTGGAAAGAAAACAAGGATAGTCCAGTTAAAACTTACGCATTAAAAACTGTCTCTTACGGTACTGCTCCTGCTTCTTATTTGGCAACAAAGACACTTCAGCAATTAGCTATTGACGAGAAAGATAAATTTCCTCTCGCTTCTGAAGTCGTGTTAAATGATTTTTATATGGATGATTGCCTTTCCGGCTCATCCAACTTAGAAGAATTCAACGAATTCAGGAATCAACTTAAATCTCTTCTTTTAGTGGGTGTATGACTTTACACAAATGGTGTTTTAATACTGACACTCTTAGTGATAATTCCAAAGATTTTCCATTTGATGATCATAGTGACATAAATATCACAAAAACTCTAGGTATGTTTTGGAACTGTTCTACTGATGCCTTCTTTTATAGAGTAAAGATAACTTCTTCGCAAACTATTACCAAACGTGACATTCTTTCGCAAATTGCTCGTCTTTTTGACCCTCTAGGCTTGTTGGGGCCACTCATTGCCTCAGCAAAGATCTTCCTTCAAAGCTTGTGACTTCTAAAGCTTGACTGGAATGATACTGTACCAGATAACATCGCTAACCAGTGGAGCAAATTTCTTTGCTCCCTCCCTTTGATTGAAAATTTACAAATTCCCAATTAAAAATTAACCAAAATGTGTGGTTAAAGAAGACACTTCTTTTTTCGCAATTTATGGTTTTGCGGATAGTTCCGAAAAGGCATATGGTGCGGTCCTTTACCTACAAGTATCATCTGATCATAAGGAGTTCTCTAGTCAGCTTCTCTGCAGCAAATCAAGAGTTGCCCCCTTAAAGACTATCACCATATCTCGCCTTGAACTACAAGCTTGTCTATTACTTTCAAAACTAGTGACCAAGGTCTTGAAAGCCATGAAACTCCCAATAAGTACAGTTAAATTGTTTTCGGATTCCACAATCGCTCTTGCGTGGATCAATACAGCTCCTCATCTTTTGAAACAATTTGTGTCAAATAGAGTGGCGCGAATTTAGCTTCTCACGAAAGACTACAAGTGGTATCATATTCCTTCTTCTGAGAATCCCGCTGATCTCCTTTCACGTGGACTTGATGCCAAAACTCTAGTTGAACATAACCTTTGGTGGATTGGGCCACCATTTCTCAGTGAATATTCTGTGAACTTTACCGAACTTAGTGACTCTCATTCCTTTAGTTTAGGTGAAGACGGTGCTAATGAATGGAAAAACTCTATTAAACATAATAGTGTTTCTAACTACTGTTTAGCCAGTACTAATGACTATAATTTCTTAACCAGAATATTTAATATCTCTAATAATTATTTTGCTATAATCTATGTCTTAAGTTATATTTTCAGGTTTTTTCATAACTGCAGAAATCCCAACTCAAAAAGAAAGGGACCTATTTCACAGATCGATTTAGAAAGGGCAGAAACTGAGTTAATAAAAATGGTTCAGAAAGAAGCATTCTCCTTGGAGATAAGTAAGATTAAAAAGTTCCTATTGAAAGAATATAAAGTACCAGGACCGGA